CTCTTTTAATTGCAACATTGTACTTTTTGCACTATTCACATATTCAACTTTGACTATATTTTATTTATTGATTTATTATAAATTAAATTTTTAAAAAATTCATTTCAATTCCTCTCATTTTAAATTTTCAAAATCTGATTTTTTTTAATTTTTTTACTAATAAGAAATGAAAGATATTAATGGTCAAACTTGTGCGTTGGCAAGCGTGAAAAGTGGATTGTTGCAATTAAAAAAGAATGGAGGAAGTATCTCACAAGATTAGTGTTTAAGTAGTCTGTTAACTTATAGGGTAAACACATTTGTATGCCTTTATTTTATGCTTTTTCTTTCCGTTACTGTACAAAATTGATAACAATAGATCACACTAGTTTTAGGTCTCAATTTGATGTTGGAACTTAGAAGTTTACATATGGCTATGTGGGAATAATGACACAAATAAAGTCAGAAATAGTAAACTGAAGTGTTTATGGCTTACTACCTCAAACCTCGAGCTTAACATTTTGTTGGATCAATTCTTTCTGCTTTCCCTAATTTACTTATGCTATAGACAGCTACATTGCACAAGTTGATTAAACTGCATTTGTCATGTCATATTTTAAGTTATAATGCATTATATATGACATTTTCGGTATATCCATGCTCTCATACTCTCATGTGTTACCCAACAACATAAATTTACTCTGGGTACATAGAAAAAACAATGGCTATCTCAATTTTGAAGCAAATATAGGTAATTAAATATTGCTATGAGCACGAGAATGAAGTTATGAAATCTTGGCCTATGTATAAAAAGCTGAAAATCATTTGCAGAAATAGAAATTGTGCAGATATCTTTCCATTCAAGCAAAATAATTTGCAAATTGTCAGAGAGCTTATTTGATCATTCCAAACATTGTTTCCAAATCTCATCATTTAATTTTGGTTAGCAAAGCCTCGACTACAGAATAAAAAAAGTTTATTTCAAATTGGGAGAGGGGGTTATTTTTACACTTGATGCTGAGGGCCAGTGAGGGGGCATATGCAATAAAAAAGTTGTACTATATGATCATGAGGGTGAATAGTAATACAAATTTCCTTGGAGGACATCTCGAAGACCTTTAGTTGCATAATAAATTGTGATGAATCTGTTCTATATTTGTTACCCAGTGGTCAGTGCAACCTGCAAACTGCTCAAATTGGGAAGTGTGTTTACAAATAGATTCTATGTTTGCAAAAGGCCATAAGTTGAAGACTAAAAGGAGCCCCGTTTGTCATTAGTGTTTGCTGATAAACTGGTTCTAGAAAAGACTTGCATTGCATACACTTATATATATAGCAGTTTTTTAGTTCCTATTCTGATGGCGTGGTGTCATATGCATACACTGATATGACAGTTTCTTAATTCCTAGCTTTGCCTATTTTATTGTTGTATTGTCACACTATTAACTGAAATCTAAAATTTCATACACTGGGAAAGCCTAAATCTTTTATGCATAAAACACCTTTTCCTATATTATATCATCTCTATCAAAGTTAGCGAAAACTCTAGCTTGACAGGTTCCAGAGTAGTCTTCTTCTGATGAACTAGTTAAACAAATTCTTATGTTTTCTCTGGGTTATATCGTCTTTCGTCCAAAGCAGGTTAAATGTGTAGCAGTTCTTGCTTGAATTCTGAATGTCCTAAATGACAGTCTAACAAAACAACACTTCTTTGCTATCAAGTTACTGGAATCTCCTTGAATTTTCTTAGTTACATTATTGCACCATATTGCACATTATCTCAGTGTATATTTAATTCGAATTTGTGCAGCAGCTCTTGCAATCACCCGATACCGCCAATTTGGAAAATGTCGGCAAGAATGAAAAAGGTGAAAACATGAATCCACTTAATGCTCAAGTAGACTCCATTGCTGTATTAACAAGTGAATCCCCTGTTCATCAACACGGCGGTGGCAAAACAGGAAAAATAAAGCGCCCTGCTCCACTAAAGATAAAACATGTGCGACAATGGAGTCGAGACGATGTTGATTCTCCCTTACGGGGGGCTGAGAATGGTGGAAGGAGAACTCCCTTTGAGTCACCCCTTCATCGTAATGCTGGCGATAGTACTCCAAGGAGAGCTTCTCGTCACAGAGACCGAAGTCTTGAGTTTTCACCACTGCACCCTGCAAGGATTGGAGGTGGTGGTGGTAGAGGGGGTGCAGGGGTTTCTTCTCCCACATGGGAAAGAAAAGGTTTATCCGAAGGTGGCCGTCCAATAGCTCCCTCGACGCCTTCTAGATCTCGTCTTAGACCAGTCACAAAAGGTGATGACACGGTAATGTCCTTCCCCTCCCCTCCCCTCCCCTCCCCTCTAGTGCATTGTCGACTAGGAATTGTTAAATGTCCTTTCCTCCATTTTTACACTATTCGCAGTGCTCTACTTTGACTACATGTTATTATTAATGTTCTTTGTAGTAAGAAATTACTCCTCCGTCATGTTTCAAGGTTCTCACTTTTCTTTTGGACGTCCCATATAAAGGTTCTCATTTCCATTATAGAAAATATAACTCTCTTAAATGACAACTTTGGTCTTCTTATAAGATTCCCACTTTTCAGAGTAATCCAGCTTTCCAAACTCCGTCAAATAAAAGGCTATTTTGGAGTGAACCTGTTTTAGCAAATAAATAATTCCCAAGTGGAAAAGGCTGTATTATTAGTTTTTTTTTTTAAATTAGCTCTATATATCATGTGATAAAACAGTGGCTATGTTGTATGCCGGATTAAATGATGTGTTATTTTCGATGCAGCCGGATCACAACCTTGTAATTCCGAAATTCGGAGATTGGGATGATATGGATCCATCATCAGCAGAACAGTTTAGCCAAGTATTTGACAGAGTGCGGGACGAGAAGCAGAGTGAGGCAGGGAAAGTGCCTGTTATGCCAACTGAAATACCTGACCTAAACAATGAGAAGCAATTGAGAAATGAGAGTTCTAAGGTACAGATTTGCTGTTTTTCAAAGTAAAGGAATATCTGGTTTTTCATAGTTTTCTATACCTCTTCTTTATCACATTTATCTGTTCTTCCAGGGCTGTTCTTGCTTTCCATGGCTTGGGAAGTAGTGACTAGTCTTCAAATTGGGGAGAGCATACGACTTACTGGAGGCACTTATACAACAAGTTTCTTGAAAGTTCGGTCATTTTGTTGTACATGCTTTGTCCAAGATTTAAGTATATCTGTCTTTTTTTGCTTTCAAAAAGACATTTGAAAAAGTTGTTAAAGAAGTAACTGAAAAGATTTTGAATGTCCTCGTGGTTTTGCGTCTTCTTGTCAAGTGTCAACCATTTTGACATGGAAGTGTGGTTTCATGTAATTTGTACTGTGTATTACGTAATTTATAAAAGACTCCTTACAAAACCTCTCCCATACACACACATACACACATACTCCTTAAATGAGATCACATAATCTTCCATAATATTTATGAGACATTTACCTAAATAGGGTCAAAACAATGTCATTTTCTCAAAGTAGGACTAAATGTTTAAAATTCCATATATAAGACTTTTTTTTATTTGTGATTGGAATTTGGAATTAAAATGCCCTCATAGGGTTGGAGTTCTTCTGTGCCTAGGTTGCTGAACTGCCGCCGGTCGTAAAAAATTTCTGTCGATCTGCTGCTAGAATGTCGTCATCGGAGTTAGCTATTGCTATCATCGAACTGAACTACCATCAACAAATTGATTAATTATATTATTGATAGAAATGTAATGTTTGCTCCTATTTAAAGAATATATATGGTCTTGTTTTTGGTAGATAGTTATCTATGTACTCCGTATGTTTTAGTTAGTGATGGACCCGGGCCGGGTCAAGGCCCGGTCGGGCCTCGGGTCCTATAATGGTAGGCCCGGGACCGGCCCGGTCAATGACCGGTTCCGGTTCGGGCCGGGCCACCCGCCGGGCCGGGCCGGTAATTTTTTTTATTTATTAATTATATATTATACAAATTGCTATTAAAAACAAAGTTCAAGTGCATTTATTTGAAATAAGAACTACATTTGAGAATTGAGAAAAAAATAACAATACGAAATACATTTTGTAATGAATATCAATTGGGATTTCCGCCACCGTTGGTTGTTGTTTTCCCTTTGTCACAGGACTTCATATGTTTTATTGGCATCCCGTATCCGTATGAACGCCCCAAGCAACAGTCTTTCTTGCACCACCTGCAAGTTGCCCACCACAGTCCGGTCTTCGGGTCCTTCCACTTGTCAAAATTGTTTTGCATAAGGGAAGATGTACTTTCCATATTTAAAATGGTATATGTATAAGTAGGAATGTAGGATAATAAGAGAAGATAAAGATGGAGAAGAGTTTGAGAAGAATTGGAGAAGAGGTGTAGAAAAATGTTAGAAAATAGATGTATTTATAGATGTTTTTGAACCCCACTCCCCACACCACCACCCCCGGGACCCCCCTGCCCTCCACCCATAGCCCCAACGGCTATATAGCCGTTTGGGAGGTTTGAATTTTTTTTTTTTTTTAAGTTATACACATATTGTAAAATAAATAAATTAATTTAATGAATTAAGTAAAACTAAAACTATTTGTACTTAGAAAAGTGGTTTGATTTATAATTTACAAATGTTACAAAATAGGTGTATACGTATTTAAACAAATTACATATTGTAAATGTATTTTTAATTTAAAAATCGGCTTTATATTTTAGAAAAATAATTTTAAGTCGTTAGATTGTAACCAATTAATTAATTTGAGAAGTGCTACATATGAAAAAGTGAACACATATTTATTTGAAATATGAAGTACAAGTTTACAAATTAATTTGAAGTACAACTACAAATTTACAATTTTGAAATATGAAGTACAAGTTTACAATTTTGAAATATGAAGTACAAGTATAAATAAATTTGACAAGTGCTATAAAATACATTTTGTAATAAATTCTAAAATACTAATCAATCGGAATCTCCGGCATAGGTAGAGCCACCATCCGTTGTTGAGTCATCCATAAAATCTTGGGAGGGGGTGATGCTCAATTCTTGAGTTCTATGTGCGGCCTTCAACCAATCGTGGTAGCATATAAGCGTCTCAAGAGACTCCGCGCTCAATCTCGATCTAGATGCCGTTAGGACGTTGCCGGCCGAACTAAATTCTTGTTCCACAGCAACTGTTGAAACCGGCATTGATAGTACTTGCTTAGCCATCCGTGCTAAAATCGGGAACGTTCTTTCTTTTGACTTCCACCAGTCTAGAACGTCAAAGTCATCATTTTCTTCAAAATCAACTTCATATGTTAAATACAAAGTAATCTCATTCAATGCGCTTTGTTCAGTGACGTGAGTTGTTTTAGTTTTTTTCATAAGATTGCCAAATGCAGATTTAAAAATCATTTTCCTTTAGATGAAGATGTTCGTGACGGGGGAGGGGGAGCGTTGCTATATTGTGCACGAAACTCATTAAATAAGGCATAAAATAAAGTACTAACCTCATTGTATTCCGTTTTCGGATCTATGGGGTTATCGTCATACATTGGAAATTCACCGAAAAACGCAAGATAATAGAAGTTGAAACAATCTTCCAAATTAGCAAGTCTATAACGAGGATCGAGAATAAATGCAATACCATAAATATGGGGAATATGCGCATAATATTTTAAAAACTTTTCCTTCATATGATCACAAAAATAATGAACGAAAACGGCATTTTGAAATTCTTTAAAAGCATCGGCGAGATTAACAGCTTGTGGAATAAATTGGTTTGCGGTAGGTTTATAAACATGACTAAAAGTTTCAATAGCATTAAAAAAATATATCAAAACATTACAAATTTTTTCGCAAGTGTCGATCTCAGCCGCGTTTATAATATAGTTATCATGTTCTTTTAAAAAAGCAGGAAAATGTTCTTTATATCTAAGAACAACTTTAAGTAATTTATAAGTACTATTCCAACGAATACTCAAATCTTTAGGAAAAGCAACATATCTCACACCTCTTTCAGTCAAATAACTTTGCCATTTTAATCTAAGTTGACCATTACCCCAAATACGTCTAATCCCCCCCTTTATTAGCTCCATGGAATCTCCTAACGCTTTTAAACCGTCTTGCACACATAAATTTATAACATGACATGCACAGCATTGATGAAAAAATCTACCCATCAAAGAATTGGCACCACACAACTCACGCAATCTAGGTATAGCAGCAGTATTATTAGTAGCATTATCGAAACCAATAGCAAACACCTTATCAATCAAATTATACTCAATTAAAATACGCTCAATCAAAATATAAATATGTTCAGCGGTGTGACGATCATTAAATTCACGAAAAGCAAGAACACGTTTATGCATATTCCAATCCTCATCAATATAATGTGCAGTCAGACCCAAATAATATAAATGATGAAAATCATCCTCCCATATGTCAGAACAAATAGTAACACGCCCATCAAAGTTTGCAAAAAAATTTTGTAATCTTACCTTTTCCGCATTATAAAGCCTTATTATTTCTTTCTTAACAGTTTTGCGACTATAATTTCTAAATTGAGGATTTAAACTACCTTGTGCATAATCTCTTAAAGCAAGACTTTCAGAAAACAAATAAGGCAAATTTTCTTCACAAATTAAGTTAGCCATACCAGTCAAATTTTGTGCATCATTGTAGGAGAAATTACCAAAAGGTTGAAAATTCGCAAACCTCGATATTTGAGTTTGCTTCCCCGTTCCGCCGCCTAATTTTGCATACTCCACGGGGTGCTTTGCCTTAAGATGCCTTGCGGCGGATCCGTATCCGCCGGAGGTTCCCAAACTATAATTGTTGTTGCACCACTTGCAAGTTGCGTGCCAATAGCCGGTTTGTGGGTCCTTCCATTTATCAAAATTATTTTTCATTAGTTCAGACTTACTTTTTTTATTACCGGTGGCGGTTTGGGATGAGGCAGGCGCGTCGGCGTCGTGGCTGCCGGCACCCTCCTCCTCGGCCGTCTCCGGTTCCAATTCCTCCGCATCTTCATCCTCAAGCTCCTCTTCGTCAATGGTCGTCGGCATTTGTTGTTGTTGTAGAAAGCGGTTATTATGTCGGGCCAATTCTTGTTGGAGTTGTTCTTCGGACATCGCATCTCCATCTCGCCTTTGGTAACCCGTTTCAAAATCATCTCGGCTTTGAGATGAAGAACCGGCAAGTTCTTTACCTTTGCGGGATTTCTTCCTCCCAATCTCGTTCCTCCGATTGCGTTGGAGGTTACCCAAATCAACCGAATATCTACCCCCTTCCATGTTAAAAATGTAACAAATATTAATTGACAACCAATATAATAATGGATACAAAACTAATGCAACTAATTAAAACTATTTTAATTAATACTTCAAACTAATTTAGTGCAAAGTAGAATTAATGTGTGACTTTAAAATTAAAATTATACCAACTTTTGAAGTACTTTAATTTAGTAAAAACTACTTAAATAAAATGTGAAGTACTTTAATTAAATGATTGAACTACTATTTCTTCCTACAAATATAAATTGAAAATAAGAAAATGTGACTTTAACTATAATGAATTAATGACAATTAACTAGTTTATTGAAGTAGAGTTGTTTTAACAATTAATGAGAATACTAATGAAGTAAATAACTAGTATAATGAAAAATGTAACAACAATGCTAATTAACTAATTAACTAGTATAATGACAAATGTAACAACAATGCTAATAAACTAATTAACTAGTATAATGAAAAATGTAACAATAATGGTAATGAACTAATTAACTATTATAATGATAAATGTAACAAGAATGCTAATTAACTAATTAACTAGTACAATACTAGTTATATTAAGTAATATAATATTTATAGTATATAATATATAAGTATACTACTATAAGATGAGTAATACACTTATATTTTATACTTTAATATATAAAGTATATATTAAGTAGATGTAGAATGTATGTATTAAGTGGATATAATAATTGTATAAGAATTAAATATTAGAGTATAATGGAGAATTGGAGATTGGAAAATAAGAAAATAAGTATATATAAAATAGATGTTATAAAGTATATATAAAAGTAGATATTATAAAATAAGTATATATAAAATAGAAATTATTAAGTAGAGAAGTAGATATTATTATGTATTAAGTATATAGTAATAGTTTATAAAGTATATTTAATACTTTATTATATAAAGTATATATTAAGTAGATGTAGTATGTATGTATGTATTAAGAAATATAAGTAGAGATTAAGTAGATAAGAAATATAAGTAATATAGTATATGTATTTATAAGTAGATAATTAATATATAAATAGATATAATAATTGTATAAATATTAAATAGTAAAATAAAATATAAAGGAGAATAAGAGAATTTGAGAAGATGAATATGGAGAATTGGAGATGAGTAGAGAGTAGGATTTAGGGAGAGTTGGAGAAGAGGTGTGAAAAAATGTTTAAAATTAGGAGTATTTATAGGTTTTTTTAACCCCCCACCCCCCACCCCACCCCCAAACACCCCGGACCCCCCCTGGTACCCCCCCCCCCAACGGCTATATAGCCGTTTGGGAAGTGGGGGTTGAGCCAAAAGGGTTTTTTCAAATTAAAAAGATTTTTTTTTTTAAAATCTGACCGTTAGGCCCGGGCCCGGGCCCGACCCGGCCGGGCCGGGCCTCCAAACACATGACCCGAGCCCGGACCCGCTAACCCAACCGGTTCGGTGCCCGAACCGGACCCGGACCCGAGAACCGGGCCGGTTCCGGGCCCGCACAGTGACGGGCCGGGCCGGTCCCGGGCCGGGCCGGTCCCGGGCCGGGCGGCCCGAACCGGGTCCACCCCTAGTTTTAGTCCCACCATTAGAAGTTTTCTCAAAATTTATTAATCTATGATCCTAGCTTATCAATTAAATTCTTTCTTAATCTTGAATTTTATAAAAAAAAGTTTTGTCATGGTGTAGTATCTAAATATATAAATTTTCTTTATTAAAATACTTTAAATCCGAGTATCGCATAGTATCAAATAAGATTTAAATTAATTTATCGATCAGAGTAAAGTTCTTTAAGAGATGGAAAAAGTTATGGATGGATATGATTAATCACATCTAATGAACAAAAATCTTAGATAAAAGCTATGGATATTTAAGATTATATTAGATGGGTCGGATGCTTATGAGAAAACGAGTTCTCAAATACACGCACCCCCTCCCACTCAAACGAAATTGTTGTTGTTATTATCATTAGAAAAAAATTCACTAATGTTACTCCTTAAAAAATGATGGACAAAGACGTGATTTAATGACTATTAGTTACTATAATTATATACAAAATTACTATTGATTACTAAGCAGTCACCACAATGCAAACTATTCAATGTTAGTTACTATTGATTACTATTAATAACTTTCGTTCAAAGTTTGATGTAAACTTTGAACACGATAGCATGATTATTTAGACCATAGTTAAATGAGGTAATTCAAGTATAATTTGAAAAAGGGAAAGTTCCCGAAATGGGACTAAAAAAGTTCGAAAATTCCAAAATAGGACTGTCATGTTTTTATTCCCAAAATAGGACTAATTACTGTCATTTTTGGAAAATACTGCCATGTTTGAAGTATGGTACTGCCAAAACATGGCAATAATTAGTCCTATTTTGGGAATAAAAATATGGAAGTACTATTTTGGAATTTTCAAACTTTTTTAGTCCCATTTTGGGTAATATCTCTTTGAAAAATAGTATTAATCAATATATAATATAATGAGGTCAATGATGATAATTGTTATGTCACCATTAGGAATAGTTGTACATGAGCTAAAATGACATCATTACAATCACTCAATTTTCTACTACGAGTACCCACTAAAAATCTAGCAATTGTGGTATTGCCAAATGCCAAACTAAACTTTGTACTTCAACAATATCACTAAAGATGTTTTTAATTTAACTGGTTTCAAACTTCAGATCAGAACAAAACAAACTAGACTTAAGCATACCAAATCATACTTCAAATGTTGTAATGTATAAATAGAACATGCATCTATCAAACCAGATGAGACCAGAAAGTTTAAGGGGGTGTTTGGACTTGATTCTTAAAACTGTTTCTGCTCCGTCAGAGAGCAGAAGCAGAAGTTGGAGTGTTTGGATGAAAGTGCAGAAGTACTTCTGGTGCTCTAATTTACTCTTAAAATCACTTTTTAGAAGCCGGGGGAGAATTCTGAAAACTGATTCTGATTCTACTGGTACTTTAAAAAATAGATGTACTGCTTTTGGATCCAGAGCTGCATTTGTCTCCATACTGTATCTTTTTAATAAAGAAAATAGGCTAAAGATCCATAATCCAGAACGAGGTAAATTGATGTACTGCTTTTGGATCCAGAGCTGGAAGCCTGGAACGGACTAGAACCAGGTTCATCCCTAGAACACATATCCAAAGTAGTATTATGGTGACAACTTATCCCAACTCAAAACTGGACAAAGAATAGCTATAAATCCATTTTATAAAGATTAAAAACCGACACGAAAAACAGATATCTGCAGATTAATAGCAGTAGAAGAACCCCAGATGACTTCCAGGTGAAACCCACAAAGGAGTGCAGCATCTCATAGTAGCCTAAAAATACCATTGGTTGAATGACTATAAACCTTACTACTAATGCAGAAAAGGCTTAGAATTCAAAAATCCAACCATTTGGAGAAGTAGACGCAATTACTTGGGGAGATGATTCCATCAGGCGTACAGTCATTAATCCTCAGACAAACCCCACAAGGTATCAAAGTCATTGCGCTAACTGTCTTGGAGTCCACCCCGGCAGCACCACTTGCTGTTCGATAACAAACTGCCCCGACCGGTATAGAATGATATTCTCCCATCCCAGTGCTCTTCACCTCTATGATTGCATTATCCAAAACAAGAGACCTCAGGATTTCGCCAATCTGTTCGCTCGTGCACTGGTTAAGTACTTTCTTCTGGCTCAGAAAATCAAATATACCTTCAGCCGTAATGACTTTAAAATTCTTTATGACCCTTTCACATGCGCCTTTGAGCATACTAATGAGTTCTTTGTTGAGATTGCCATCAGTGTACCACGCACCGCCGGTGAGTTCTGCTGAAGGTTCAAACTCAGCAGCTATAAAGGTCTTTCTAGATTTGTTTTGTATGTTCTTGACCGGTTTTATGAGGTTCTTCTTCACGAGAGAAGCCAGGGATTTGTCAACCACAGTTGGTGGAAGCTTTGATTCTTTCTTCACGTCAGCCAACCACATTCCAACAGTTTTCTTACTTTTGATCAAATTGAGGACTACACTTTCAGCATCCACCAGAGGCTGAGAAGGTGATGCTCCTTCTGGTTTTCTCCTCTTCATATCTTCTGTACTAACCAAACCAGATCGTGAACTATTATTTAGTATTACAGTAAATTAATTTTTCAGAATCATGCGTTTCATAAGAGACATCATTTCAATTTCATTTACCCCAGTGCCGCAAAGGCTCCCACCAACAGTGGGGTAAGGGGGAGTCGGATGTACGCAGTCTTACCCCTATACTTACAGAGAGACTGTTTCTGGATGACCCATAGTGAAAATTGCAAGGACTGACTGCTGCTTTATAACAAAGAAGCGCAGACAGTTTAGTGAGCCATTTTGCTTTATTCCATCATATTTTCAAGCCAAAAAATAATGAATCTTTGGCTCCATTGCAAATGATGGAAATTTCATAAGAGACAAGAAAAAGAATAGGTTAAAGGATCAAATAGGCCCTTGAACTAACTTAAAGTGTTCAATTAGCTCCTCATATAGGAGGTTCTGTCCGGCCATCTCCAATTGGGGAGGTTCCCGGAGGAATTTTTTGTTGAAATTTTTTTAGCATCTTCTTCATTAAGTCTAGTTTACCTATATCAAATTTCAGCTAAAAATTAAATCGGGAAGGCAGTCAAATGATTTTCCGAAATGTACTGCGCTGTTTAACTGCGCAGTTATCTTCAAAAAATCATTTGACTGCCTTTCCGGTTGAATTTTTAGCTGAAATTTGGTATGAAGAAGATGCTCAAAAAAATTCACCAGGAACCGCCCCAATTGGCAACAACCGGGCAGAACCTCCTATATAAGGGGCTAATTGAACACTTTAAGTTAGTTCAAGGGTCTATTTGACCCTTTAGCCAAAAGAATATATAACCACAACCACACTTGGGGTCTTTTTGGAACCAGAAAAAATACTCGGGAAATAAATGAGTGGCAAAATAAAAGATAAGCTAAAAATCAACAAGTTATTTTGGACTTCTGTTTATCCTCATTAAAAAATTGGTTGCAATAATGAAATTTTTGTTAAGACGAGATTTAGATTTTATGGGTTCCCCTTGAATAACATTAAGCTATACAAATTACAATATACAATCATAGAGATAAAACTAAAACGAAGAAAAAATGAGTTGCTAACTAACCCTAACTTTAATCTAGGCATATGATAATACTAAAAAAGAGTTAATAGAATATTGTAGAAGTGGCTAAAGACAAAAAATCGGCAGTACACCACCACCTCGGATTTAGCCATAAAAGAACAAAAAACTAAAAAAATGGAATTGTCTTTAAAAATGACCTAGAACTGGAAGTTAAATGGGCAGTGAATCAATTAGCATTTATCAATACCTAACGAAAACAAACCTAACCTAAAGAAGGAAAACAGATCGACAGTAAATTGACAGAGTGAATAAATAATTTGGAAGAAAAAATCCTACTTCAGTAGATATTGAGGCGCTATTGGATGAGGAAGTAGGACCGTAGGAATGTTTGTCCGACCTCAGCACCGGATCAGAGTTTGACCAAATGTTTCCAGTCAGAATTGAGTTTGGCTCTACCACCGTTAAGATTGTAGGTACTGCGGCTGGAGCTTATCACAGTCTTGCGCTTGCAGGTAGGACTTACTTTTAGTTGTTCATACTGTTTCTTTTACTTCTCTATAATGGTTGGTGGATTGGTCTTTCTAATTGAAAAATCTGTCTGCACATGGGTATTTGAATGAATATGGGGTTTGGCAATATGCTTTGTGTTGATCACGTTAGAAATAATATTTAGACAGACCGAGTTTAGGAAAATTGCATACAAATTACAAAGTAACGTTTTGAAACAGACCACCACATGAACTAACAAATGTCAAAACAATATAAACAACAATGAAATATACGTATAAGCAATATATGAACTAAAAACAATGTGTAAATGAGTAAAGAATGTAAAAACAATATGTACAATATGCAAACGAGTGAAGAGTTCAACAATAAATCCATAATGACAATATATGAAACTAAAACGTTTGCTGGGCATTTTTTTCGTTTTCCCGTTTTATCGGATCCCGCTCCATTTTAATCGCATCATAAACAAATTCCTCTTGAACGGATGAAATATTTAAAGTCTCAATCAAGCCACTTAACTTCTGTATGTTTTCTGTACTTATAGTCATCACCATTACCCCAGTGCTGCAAAGGCTCCCACCTTTGGGGTGGGGTAAGGGGTCGGATGTACAGTTTCCGGATGACACATTGTGAAAATTGCGTCGAAAAATTGCATGAACTGATTGCTGCTTCATAACAAAGAAGCCACCACTTTAGTGAGTCATTTTGCTTTAGGAGTAGATTATGTAGGCAATCTTATTTAAATCGACAAAAGTTTATGAAATAATCAACATTTTATATTCAATCACATAATTCATATCAATATGTTAACAAATTTATAATCCCAAGTTTTAAATTTCACAAATGAAATCACACGGAAGTACGGCTGGCAGACCAGAGAGTCTGAGATCACAAATGAAATCACACAAAAGTTTTTAATATCAATATCTTTTTATATTAAAAAGATTAAAAATGCTTAAATTAAAATAAAAATACCAACTTACCCACGGAAGTACGGCTGGCAGACGAGAGAGTCTGAGACCGACGACTGGCAGTGGCGCAGCCGCGAAGGCGGACAGACAAGCACTCGGGCAGATGCAGGCGGGGAGATACGGTGGACTGGCGGATAGAGAGTGGGCGCCGCCTCGCAGGCGCGACGCGATCAGCCGGAACGTTTTCCTTCTTCGATCTGCGTTCGCTGCAACCCTGGCGAGTTTAGGTAGAAGAACGGACGAAGGATTTCTTCTTGTTGCTTTGGGTTTTGGCAGGGGTGGGCAAAAGTACAGAAAGACCGAACAGAAATGTTACCGGACCGAAAAACGGATCATGAACCGGATACCGGTTCTAAACAATGCCATGACCGGTTCTTATAAAATGAGAACCGATACCGGACTGAACTGGACCGAAATATGAATTAATTATTTAAATTTACATGTATACCATTACTTTGAGTAGTGCCTTCACACTTTCACACTTTCACCACCTTTGTACTATTTTAGTTTATCTGAAATTTATTAATTATGTAATACTACCTCCGTCCTAAATTGATTTGCAAAATCAACTTTTCTTGCTCAAACAGTTTCACATTATTATTACTTAATTAGGATGTCAATTTTTTATTATATTTAATTTGGAGTTTGCAATTTTGAAGAGATTTAATGTAGTTCTGAATATGTAAATTTTAATTGTTAAAATTGAATTAATTATCAATAAAGAGGATTTAACTTTAACATTTGTCGACCAAAAAGTATTGACTTTGCATATCAGTTTGGGACGGAGAGAGTATAAAAATTGATAAGTTATGTGGATTTTTGGAAAATGGTTAAACTTTAATTTCTCCTTAAACACTTGAAAAAATAGCATTGTTTGATATTGGTATGACATGATACCATCCCGTTTGAAAATGGAAACGTACCGAACGGGTTTAGGTCTAAGACCGAACCGAACCGAACCGTTAGAATAGTAACGGTACGGGTACGAGTTCGGACAAATATTGGACCGGACCAGAGCGCGCCCACCCCTAGGTTTTGGACCTCCGACTTTTTGCTATCAGCGTACACTGGGCCAGGATTTTATTTGAACGGGCGAACTACAATTTTTCTCCCTTTGTATAATTATATACTCCCTCCGTTCCTAAAAATTCTTCCCAGTTTGACTTGGCACGCCTATTAAGAAAATGGAATAAAGTGGAAATGTGTGGTTGTGGTTGTGTGAGAAAAAGTTAAATGAATGTGAGTCACACAAATTGTTCAAAAAGGGAAAGTGGGAAGAATTTTTGGGAACGGCCCAAAAAGGAAAGTGAGAAGTATTTTTGGGAACGGAGGGAGTATTATATAATTATTTTTATCAAAATAATTAAAATGTTTAACCATTAATACTAATACAATTTGAGAAAAAATATTTTGGAATGCCACATCCCAACAAAAGAAGAGTGAACGAAATTGCACTCCGAGTGAGTAGTTCCTTTTGTTCTTTTCATAGTGAACCTACTTTAAAATAGATATTTATTGAATACTTCTTTTATCCCTAATTGATACACATATGGCAGATTTTAGAGTTTGGCCAATTTAAAATTATTATTACCTAATAAAATTGTGCATAAAGCTAAAAACTATTGATTTGTATATTTAATTTACAAATGCCTTTTTTAAATTTATTGAATTGAAAAAAAAATGATTTAATTTTTTACGTTTTGATGCATAAAATTAAAAGTAAATTGAATTGACGTAATTAAAACTGTCGTTTTTATAAAGAGGGAGTTTTCATGTCAGGCATATTCTGAAATGGTGATAGGAGACAACGATAAGAATTCCACCCTGGTCCGTGAGAAGAATGTGAAAATCTGAATCTAGGAGTGAAAGCAGAGTAGATAAATGTATCGTCTCTTTCATGTATGTATATAACCTATGTTTTAAACTTCAAAGAGTACTCCGCTAAATGTGATTCATTTAACATTTGTGATCATGGGTTATTGTCTTTTCATGTATGTATTTAACCTATATTTTAGAGGCCACCAAAGTTATAGATGAATTGATTGTCAAAAAAAAAGTTATAGATGAATTAGTTTTACAATCCACTATAGTCTATAGTTATAGAAGAATTAGAGTTCCATTAACATATATGTAGAACTTTAGAAGCCACTGTAGTTATAGATGAATTAGTTTGAGAAGGGCCATCCTTAGGTTTCAAACTTTCAAATATAGAAATATAGCAAGATGTAAAATAAAGCATAGTTGCAGCACAATTAAAACTAAGATTATAGGTAAAATTGAAAAGGGCATTCCTTAGGTTTCATATATAGAAATATAACGCCCTAACTAACTCAGGAATACTAAAAAAACGGAGATTTACAATTATGGTGGTTTCATATACAGTTACTCGTAGTCATTCAAAACACCTATACGACTTATGAAGAGGTTAAATGTCATATTGTCATGTAAATGATTAAATGTTTTTCTTATTAGAGTTTTGCTTTATTTGTCTTACAAGTGTACTAGCACACCATTGTTAGTAAGTATAAATGTTTTGTGTGTATCCGAGCAGTTAATAAGTACATTATTTTGCCTTCTAATTCTGTTTCGGTGCTTTAATATTTCAATTATTTTTGAATTCTATTGGGTTAATTTTGATTTCGAAATTGAATTCCAAATTTAGCGTTATTTTTTTGTTCTAATAATTTTTGTTATTATGTTTTGTGTCATGTGTTATTAGGATCACACAAAAAATCAGTATTATTTGAAGTCACTTATTGATTACTCACCAATATTTGTCAAGCTACTTTGCTCCTAGATAATGAGTATTTTCTTGATAGAACTGAGATCAACTTAAGCTTTAGCCCAACACAATTTTCATTTGTTGAACTGAAACTAATTTTTTCTTATTTTATTTTAATAGTTAAAATAGTTAAAATGGAGAAATTCTTGATTCGTCCATATTTGGAAAACTGCCCATTTCACTTCCCGTTAAATCATTCAAAACAATTAAAATAATTATTTTCATTTCTTATAACTAGTATTTTACCCGTGCGTTGCACGGGATAACAAAATAACAAAGTATCGATGAAGTGGTTCAATATTCCAGTTGTTTTCAAGAGCTATATCAGTAGTCCCAAATCCCAATGTTCCAATACTCCAACTGTTCTCATAGTTGCATGGAATTTCAAAATATACCAAATAATAGAGGTTCTATGTCTCTATGTTTGCCTCATTTCCATTTCCATTCATTCTACTAAGTTTGTCTCAATCCATATTTAGTAAGATTTGGGTAGTTACAATTACAATTCAACCTTTATCACATTTCAATAACTAAATATCATCCACACGAACAATTTCACTTTTCTTAATAACTTTACCGTGCACGCTTATCCAAATCTTATGGGGATAGAGGTAATGATGATTATGTAAATTATCTTATTTCCCCATTAACTTCTCAGATTCATATTGAAATGATAATAAAAGTTACAATTCATCTTGCAGATTCTAGACTATTACAAAAGAAAATATACTCCGTATGAAAGTAACAGTGAAGCCAGGAGGTGCAATAGTATTCCAGGTCACTAGCAGAGTAGCAGGTCTTCCAATACCTAATAAATAAAAGGCTAGAGAATTATGGATCATTTTTCATTCATTTTCATTTATCCCAGTGCCGCAAAGGCTCCCACCTACGGTGGGGTAAGGGGGTCGGATGTACGTAGTCTTACCCATGTACTAAAGCACAGAGAGACTGTTTCCGTATGACCCATAGTGAAAATCGCGTCCAAAATTGCATGGACTGACTGCTGCTTCATAACAAAGAAGTGCAGACAATTTAGTGAGTCATTTTGCTTTATTCCATCATATTCTCAAGCCAAAAAATAATGAATCTTTGGCTGTATTGCAAATGATGGAAGTAAAATAGGTTTCAAAACCTACCTGAAAACCATTGGCAAATATTTGAAAATCAACCAACCTATTTTTAAATGAGGATCAAAGAAATTTTTTCCCACTAAAATGATACATTACACTCTCATATGCAAAATTGTACTAAAATCTGAGATCAATATGACGGTTCAATAATACTCCATAGTAGATTATGAGGTCACCAACAAATCACTTCATGAATGAGAACAATGACTTTCACACACTTGATATAATAAATAAAATTAGTTACTAATGAGGGCAAAAGGTAAGAAGCTTACAATAAAATGAAAGAAGCTTACGTCAATTATAAGAAAATCTCATTTAAAAATTGCAACTTATTAGTACCAAAACAATTGGGAGCAAACTTCGTGGAACTGCTAATATTTATGTTTCATTGAATTTGTTAAATAACAAATTTATTTAGTTCATAATAAAACACGGTATGCTAAACGTAAAATAACGAAACAGAACCTTCATGATCCTTCACGTTAACCTGTATCATATCTCGATGGATTGCTAGATCGAACACTCACTGCATTGTAATTTTCTTTTATCATTGTAATATTTATCTTATCATAATAGTGGTTTAGAATCTTAAACAGTGCATGGTATATTTAAATGGAACGAACTGCACCTTTTCTATCCTTGCAAATAAAACTTAAAGCATTACCTGCAAGCACACGTGAGAGGACATTTTAAGTCATGACCGGCCATAAAATTTAAAGGGAAAATGGGCAAATAAGTCCTCGAACTAATAAAAAAAGTGCAAATAAGCCCTTTTGTAGGAGGTTCTGGCTGATCATCGTCATTTGGGGAGGTTCTCGGTGGAATTTTTTGATGAATTTTTTTGAGCATCTTCTTCATTAAGTCTAGTTTAGCCATACCGAATTTCAGCTAAAAATTCAACCGGGAAGGCACTCAAATGATTTTCGGAAAAATACTGCGTTGTTTAACTGTGCATTTATCTTCAAAAATTCATTTGACTGTCTTCCCGGTTGAATTTTTAGTTGAAATTCAGTAGGACTAAACTATACTTAATGAATAAGATGCTCAAAAATTTTCATCAAAAAATTCCACCGTGAACCTCCCCAAATGACGATGACTGGACGGAACCTCCTACAAAAGGGCTTATTTGCACTTTTTTGATTAGTTCGAGGGCTTATTTGCCTCTTTTCCCAAATTTAAATGAATATCTTTTGAAAATTGAAGAGTAATAAAAAAATCACATTTGTTAGCTATTCAATGATACTAACTTCAGTTCTGTGTTCCCTCCGTGTTCATATTTCTTTTAGGTAGCCATCACGCATATGCACATCTGATATGATCTACCTCTATAAACACACCAGTCCATATTATTCAGCACATTTGTTTCTATAGCTTATCATTTTAGCAATCTCACTCATTTAAATACGTAGTATAATTAATTG